TAACATTTGTTCTCTAAAGGCAACAAATTCAAGAGGACATTCCAAGGAACACGAAGTCTTGATTCGGGTGGTACCAAATATAGAGGCACACAATTTATTTTGCACTCCACCCTGACGAAATCCTGGATGAGCTCCACTCGGCGCGGGGCACCGAAGGCTCTCCTTTTGGGGCGTCATAATCTTGATTTACAAGAGGCACCCAATTCCGGAGGACACCACAAAGGGCAGCAAAGCCTTCATTTCAAGTGACGACAGATTCCAGGGCACCATACATAGCCCAAAGTCTTTATTGTTCAAGAGAAGCCACATAGCATTCAACAACACTCACGGGGCCCACGAACGAAGCACCCGATCGTAGAGTTAGATGGGTAGGCCGTAGGTCATATCCAAGGTATCCCAGCCCTGACTCTGAAGTATCAGTAATACGGCCTGTTGCACTGATCGCGTGTCCCCGAGGCAGTGAGGGTCCTCTATCAGCTGACTGAGACCACCGATACCGAACTGTAGATTCCGTGCCGGTCCAAGCCCTAGGAGGGCCCTTTCCCAAACATTTCCTGAACATGACAACTACTTTCAAAAATTAAAAAAGCCTCAGCCGTTGGTTCTGGACCGTTTCGCGGTGACGACACATGAGGAATGACTGCCTAAGGTTTCACTTTCACATTGAAATAGTGGAGGTATCCTGTGTGAGTCAAAGGTCACAGTACGGAGCGAGGGCCCCTGCGGACAGTTTCAACCAGCGACCAATAAGCCGAATGTCGCAGTACCAATTATTGGACTTCCTGCGCTAGAAATGGGTCCTTGGCGTAAGTGAGGGGCCGATGCGTCGATCCAGGGCCAGGTGCTCGGGTCGCAGGACTTGTCGCACCAGGGAGGGAACCCGCGCAGTGTGTGATGTATCCCTCTGGGAGCCTCCAGATCGACCAGGGAGGCACGGTCTCCGTATCGCCAGAATGGCAGCTGCTGGATACCCCGGGCCAGGCCGGAAGGGTGATTCAGGCCCTGACCAGAAAATTTCGGCCTGTTTTTCCAAGCTGATGCTCTGAACGAAATTAGTAGTTCCAGTAACACGGCTGATACATATTGAGGCACTGCGTCATGGGTTGATGTTGCTGTAGGGGCTAATCCGTCATGAGCGTTGATCCAGAAGCCACACAGGTGAAATCTCATGTCCGGGATATATAACACGCATAAGAGTCGATTTCGTAAAACGTTTGGCTCCAGGTTCCGGGAACACAACAGTGAAGTGCGGTCCCTCCCTCGGCAAAGTTCTGGATCCGTCCCTGATTAGCTGTTACTTAAATATATTAATGCAACAACATTTGATACATTATGCCTGTGAACACCATAATTAATACTCAATGTGCAACAGCATCGTGCAGAACTGTACAGTCATTTTGTACTGTGTTGATGCAGATGAGTGATTTACCCATTTCTGGAATGAGGTGGATCTTTATTTTTTGTCGCAGGAGTAATATTCATCGTGCATTTCTTGCTTGCTCTTTCAGCCGGCTCTCGCTGACTCACTGGCTCGTGAATCGTGGCTCATCTGGTCGCTATGGATTAATGCATAGAGTTCGTGGGCCTGCCAGGCGGGGGGGGGGGGGGAGGGAGGGGGAGGAGGCAGCGGTCCTCCCGGCACCTATTGCGCGTCGTCCTCTCCCCCGACCCTGGTGGCGCTGGTGGCGTCTATGCCACACGTAATATAAGCCGGTTACTGCCTTGCCCCTGGCTACCACCTTGTCCTTCTCGCACGGCCGTCCCGCGACCCCCACGGCAAGCGAACAATCGTGAACTCTTGTAACTGCTCATGTCTAAGCTGGAGCTGAGGTCAAATATTAATTACATCCAGGTTTCAGCAGCTTGCTGTTGGGACTTTTCCTCAGATGCGGCTGCTGTGGACACATTGGTGCTGACATAACCTGTTTCCGAGCTGTCGGGGACAACAACCTGCAGCCGAGGCTTGTGGTCTGGCCGAAAGCCGCTTTACCGTGGAGGCGGAGGAGATGACGGTGGAGAAGGTGCAGGGCATAGTGGCGGCCGCTCTGCTGCAGGAGTTATCATACAAGTTCTTCGCTCAACCACTGGGCCCGGTCGAGCGCCACCCGCCACACGTCTTCCTGCAACACTTTTTGCTGCAGGTGCGTGATTGCGTAGTTGTGTCCGGGCCGTGCTGGACTCTGCCCGGAATGCGGGATTTAAGGGAAGAGGGCACAAGGGAGCTTGCCGATCGGTAGTGATGACACGCAGGTCCAGTGAGTGCGCGAGGCGCTGAAGCGTCATTGATAGTTGACGCGGCTTTGTCTTGTGGCTGATTTTGGAACACGATCTTATGTCGTGTGTCGTACTGCCGCGGGATGTGTCGTTCTGCTGTGGAAAACGTTCTGTCGTTCTGATTGAGATGCGTAGTTCTATTGCGCTGTGTCATGGCTATACAAGTTTGTTTGCAATGCTGATTTGAAAGTTTTGGTTTTTGCCGTCATCGTATGTCAAGAGAGACGCGTCGCTTTACCATGGAGCGCGTTGCTCTACTATGTAATACGTCATTCAATTGTGGATGCGTTGTTCTGCTGTGCCGAGTTCCGACGACACGACATTGTGCTGTGACGCGTTTCCGGCGTATGCAGATGGAGATGCGTTGTTTTACTGTGGAATGAGTAATCTGCTAAGATGCGTCGTTCTGTTGTTCCTATACATATGCGCCATTCTGTTGGGCTACGTTGTAACCACACTTGTTTGTGTTATTACGCTGATCTGAACGTTTTTGTTTTTGTCTCTGGTGGGCTTCGATGGAGATGTAAAAACATATTGCATGGTCGTATATTGCAAGTTAATCAACGTGATGGCTGAAAAAGGGTTGAAACCCTCGAGAGTTCTCAGAAACCATCCAGGTGTCTGCTTGGTATGAGGACGTTTTTTGCAAGGTTCTCGGAATCAGTGTAGGTTATCTCGCTCGAGAATGTTCAATGGCTATATATATATATATATATATATATATATATATATATATATATATATATATGTATGTATATATATGTTTCTACATCTCTATCGAAGCCCACCAGAGACAAAACAAAAACGTTCAGATCAGCGTAATAACACAAACAAGTGTGGTTACAACGTAGCCCAACAGAATGGCGCATATGTATAGGAACAACAGAACGACGCATCTTAGCAGATTTACTCATTCCACAGTAAAACAACGCATCTCCATCTGCATACGCCGGAAACGCGTCACAGCACAATGTCGTGTCGTCGGAACTCAGCACAGTAGAACAACGCATCCACAATTGAATGACGTATTCCATAGTAGAGCAACGCGCTCCATGGTAAAGCGACGCGTCTCTCTTGACATATATATATATATATATATATATATATATATATATATATATATATATATGTAGCCATTGGCCGGTGACAGAGAAAATCAAGCATTCTTAGGCGAGATAATTTGCGTTGACGCTGAGAACCTGGCCAAAAAAGAACGACACGAGACGAAAAGAACCCCTTTGCAGTTCTTGCAAAGTGTGGCTCTCTACAGAGGTAAGATCGACCCCCCCCCCCCCCTCCCGATAGGCTTTGAGAACTCTCGACAGGTTTGCCTGTTTTTCAGTGTTGGAGGGAGACTGCTTAAAGATGAACGAAGGCGCTGTTCCGCGTGAACAAAACAAGGTCACTGTACGTTGGACGGGCGCTCCTTCTGCGAGGAAGTCGTGTAAAAGCATTTGCAAAGGCTATGCAAGTATCCGCCCCAAAATAGTCAAGATGTATGTAAAGAAGGCGAATCTGCGCAGCGGGTCATTCAGTCCCTGCGTTGAACGCCCGGCCCAGACGTCCGTGCCTCACCCATGAACGCTCCGTTGGCTGCAGAATACTCCTGCGCGGCGCACCGCTGCCGGACTGAACCCAACTGAACGACGGAGCGTTATCAGCCGCATTGCCGGGGTGAAGCATTCATCAGTGCATTCTCGGAAACCGGAATAAACTCATGATTATTCATGATTATTACATTGCGAGATTACCCATGCACCGTATGGCAAGACGGAGGTCGTGCACATGACTTGACACTCGTGAGACGCTCACCGCCGAACATGCATATGTATATATATTGGTGCACATGTTACTGTTATTGCACCGGGCCACCTTGTACCGGATGTGTTATTTTGTCGAGGAATTTACCCGTTGTATTGCAAACTGAGAAAGAAATTGGCGACGAAAACGTTGGTGCGTTAAGCCGTCCGTTTATTGCTTCATGGATGACGCGTAAATCGAGCCAGAAAATAGCAGGTGTAATGCGCCGTATGGGAGCCGCCTGTCGCCAGTAATCAATCTCTGTTATCTAGTCGCATTCTGCAAAACAGTAGATCTCCATAAACTAATAACTGCACGCTTCGTAATAACTTTTTTGGGAGACATCCAAGAGCATACCGCTACACGGAATGATACAAAGTCAGCCTGCGTCAGACCGACCCCATATGATGCAGCGGTACCCTGGTGCCTCTTGTTTATAGCCGTGCGTATTTGAATGAACCTTGGTCTCGTCAGGTTGTTCGTGCATACAGTCAACCGGACAGTCGTGATAAATCGGGCCTGCGTGGTAAACAGTCTCTGTGTACGGGAGCGTAAGCAGGCTGTCATTCAGGGGAGTGAGAAACCCAGAGTTGGAATTATGTGCAGAGGTGATCCTTTTCTCACGACCAGCTTCTGTTCTCTCATATAACCCCAACAAGTGAATGCTTTAACATGAGAAAAATAGGAATTGAGTCTTGAACTTGTAGCAAAATAAAATGACCACAGACTGGAAAGATAATAGTGTTCGGGGATACCTTTGGTTAGTCAACATTAGGGTTAGATACCCTTGGTTAATCAAGTTTGGGCCCCCGACTGGTTTTCTAACCTTACACCTCTGAACCATGGTACAACTGTGCACCAGTCTGCCAGAGATACTGAACACTATTCCGTTGCGGCCTTCTTCGCGAACCATTGTGCATTTCTGTTCACACAGTGCAGAGTGGCTTGTTCTCCCCTGGTGCGCAAGCGTTGCGCACCATTGTCTCGAACCCATGAATCTCCGACCCGTATTCGACCTTGATCGTAGCTGGCAGCTTGTAGACCAGCCACTTGTTGTGGTTGGTGCACAACTTCCCTTTGAACACTCCCCCGTCGTCCGTCACGCTGTCCTTTAAGGCCAAGTACCATTTGTCAAACCGCACGTTTTCTAACGTGATCTGGCCACCGTGGCGCGGGAGCCCGCCCACCCGCCACAGCTGCTTGCTGCTGTCGTCGAACCGGTCGTAATAGATGTTGGACGTGTACGAGCTGTACAGAATGTCGTACGACGCGTCCGTGGTGTGTGCGGTGCGCAGTCGCACCCGCGCACCGTTGCCGACGATGTGGCCCTGCGGCGCGCCGTCCAGCAGCATCTGGTGGCGCGCGGCGCCGCCCGGGTTAGCGTAGAAGCGCACATGCGGCCAGCCACGGCGCCGGTGCGGGTAGGTAAGGCCAACGCATGTCTCGCGGTCGACCAGCAGCACCGTGTCGCCGCTGGCCAGCGCGCCGGCGTGAGCGGCGTACTCGAGCGTCCAGGCGACGCTCCGCGAGGACAGGCGCAGCACCAGCTGGTGGTGCGACGTCAGCAGGCGGCGCGGCGACGTGTCGTTCACAGCGTAGCAGCCAGCTGAGCCCGTCGTACACGTCGATGTAGTCACCGGCGCCGAGACCCGGCGCCTGCAGCGTGGCTGACAGGAACATCAGCTGCTCAACCTCCAGGGCGCAGCTCGCACGGCCCCCGCCCGCCCTCCGGCTGCACGGCGTCGGCGTGATGGAGAGTGCCCGTCGCAGCAAGCTGGACCGGCTCGCCGCACGCGGCGGCGCCGCGGGGCGAGGCCGACTCCGGCAGCGGGAACGGCGGCTGGAGCGCGTTTAGGTCCGGAATGGGGTCGTCCGGCTCGTAGCTCATCGAGAGCGAGCAGTAGGGGCTGGCGAGCGTGTGGTGCGTGCGCGCGCTGTTCGCTTCGTGGCTGTGCACGTAGCTGTCCAGCGGGTCGACGCACTTCACGAAGTAGCGGCCGGTGGCCAGCAGGCCGTAGATACGGTTGGTCAGCTGCTGGACGCGCCGCTGGCGTCCCATGGCGTGGAGCAGCAGTGGGTCGAGCTCCTGGCGGAGTTCGATGGTCAGCAGGCGGCTGGGCCGCGGCGGTGGGCGGCTCGCGCAGGTCGCCGCCCACATGTAGCGTAGGGTCATCGGCGGCCTCGTGCTGCAGCGCGGCCCGCACCTCGGCCTCCTGCGCCGGCTCGCGGCCCGCGCCGCCGGCCGGCCAGCAGCCGTCGGCGAACAGCGAGACGCCGCCGCCGCTTTCTGCGTAGTGCCACTCGCGTAGCTGCAGCTCGAAGTGGCGCAGCTCGTGGCCGCCCACGTTGAGGTGAGCAATGCCGTCGCGCGCGTTCAGTCCCCAGTGCAGGTAGGGCAGCGCCATCTGGCGGCCATCCTCCATGTACCGGCAGCAGGCCGCCGTCCACATCCGGGACGGAATGTTGACCCTGCAGAGGGGATGTGTTCCTTGAATGAAGTGTCTTTGCACTTTGCTGAGGGGCCCGGACTTTGAAAACATGTCTTTGAGGAATGAAATACTGTCTCCAGATTGCTCGCGGTACCTTATTTCCAGAAACATCGAGTAATTAAAGAGGCTCTTGGTACCCGTTTCCTAACAAATCATCCACATCATACAGGTATTGTGATACTCTCTCCTTGCCAGGTCCAAGGACCAGGTCTTGTATGCGACAGAATTCCTAAAACTCAGCTCCTAAGACGCCACGTGCATCACACGCCAGACAAGAAAGCCCGAAATAGGGTGTTGCAGCCTCTTGCGGTTTAAAGACAGGGCTCCGACATGTCATGGGAATTTGACCGACGCCTCAGGCCGGTGTTCCATGATGATGGCCAAGGAATTGGCTTTGACCTATGCTCAGGGACACTGCCTGGAGTTAATTGACACGATTTTACGTTGCAAAGGTGTTCTTCTAAGCGCCAGCGACTTATATCTGCTTTCAGTTTTTAATCGTTGCAATTATTATTTCCCCGAAGCCTTATGCACGTCTGAGCGTCTTCAGACGACACCGCGGTGCTCGTCCTGGAACTCAGTCTAACCTGTGGTACACGTCTTTAGACGACACCGCGGTGCTCGTCCTGGAACTCAGTCTAACCTGTGGTACATGTCTTCCTCGTGCTGGGGCCTCCAGACGCTGCAGCCGCCCTCATTGTCGCCGCAGGATATGGTCCGAGTCGTCCTCAGGTCACTCTCCTCAGCCGGGTAGTTCGGCACGGCGCCGGTCAGCGCGTGCAGCGAACCGTTCCGGGCGTAGCAGAACGTGACGAACACATCATCGAACAGCTGCTCGGCGCGCTTCCACGCGCCCTGGTTGAAGCAAGGCTCCTGAGGCACGGCGTTGGTGAGGGTGAAGGTGGCGAGGCGCGGATTCTTGCCGTCCTGCAGGAAGTTGGGGTTGAGGTGGCCGCGGTTGAAGCCCGACTCGGCGTAGTCGTCGTCGACGGCCTGGAGGCGTGGCAGCTGGTCCCGCATGCGGCGTGACACTCGGCCTCTGGAGCCTGGCCACTGGTCCATACCCTGTCCACAGACGACAGAGGAGGCGCTGCGAGGCTGGCGACGAGCGTGCCAGATACAGGATCACTGTGCACAAAAAACGGCTCGAGCCCGGGCCCGTCTTTCGCAGCTTTATTACTTCGTGAACATGGCGCCTATGATATTGCGCAGTTTTTTTTTACGTGTGTGTAGGTGCTGTTCCCATGGCCAGGAAGTTTTATATGTAGTGAGTTAACTCAGTGAGAATCTGTGGAAATAATGTCGCGTATTCAGAGGGTATTTAACAACATTGCTTATCTATTTGTGACTTATTAAGTCTTTCAGGCTAAAAAATCATGGGCAAGGTAAAGGCAGCGTCTGCTTGAAAAGGCAACAGCAAGGTGGGGTTTCGTGTTATGATACAATACTCAACGACAGGACAGACTCAGACTCTGTCATCAGGCCGACACGCTCGCTTTAGTCCCCGAACAGAATCGACAATCGGCCGGCAGACACCAACCGCACAGCCTTGGTCGGAGATAACTGGCACCGAAGCTCCGCAGCTGCACAACTGATAAACCTCTTTAGCATTCGCATTTACTCAAGCCAGATGGTGCGCTATTTTACGCAGCCCTGGCATTCCTCCCCGCTAGCGCGGTCATCTCACCTGAGTGCCGTTGCTGTCCTCGGCCAGGGAGTGTTCCACGTACCAGCGTCCGGTGCGACGCCTGCCGCTGCGCGCGCCGTCGGCCGGCTCCGGCGCCGGCACGTACGCCGAGTACACGGGGATGCGGTAGCGCGTGTCGAACAGCGTGAAGTAGTAGTCGGCGCCGTGGTACCGCTGGCAGAGGCCCACGCGGCGCGCGTCCTCCACGAAAGGCGCGCCGCGCGGCGGTCGGCCCAGCGAGAAGTACTTCTCCTGACAGGGGAGCTGCGTCGTTGCTGCCGTCGCGAGCAGCAGCAGCACGCCGGCCGCCCGCGGCGGGAGGGTGCGGTCGAGGCCCGGGCGCCACATGGTGCTGCAGCTGACTGCGTCTCAGCGGACGGCGGCGCCCGCGCACGACGGCCCGCAATCAGCCGTGATGCGCTGAACGAGTCAATTCGGCTTGTTGTCTGAGGGGCGTCGTCACAGCTGACGGGGTCGAGGTGGGCACGACTGCCTCAGATGTCAGCTTGTGGAGCGGATCGCATGCTCCTGCCTGCGGCGCACCGGATGAGGCGGTGCTCTGTGAGTTGCAGACGCTGGTGCTTATGCTGGGGCCTAGAGTGATAGTGTGAACTCGAAAACTTGGCTTTGACGAACATGACGTTATGCGTTCAGGCTGATCAGATCGAGAGCGACATGTTCCTAAGTTGCTAATTTAGAGTCATCATAGGTAACGAGTCTAGTGATGCCGGTTAAGGACTCAAAATTAATAAACATACCTTAATATGACTGGACCCGCTGAAATTGGGACGAAAATATTGACATGAAGCTATCGGTAAAAGTTATCGTCAATAACTGCGAGCGGCATCCGAGTTCAGTTGGTTGAATGCCGTGTAGACATGCAATCGATTAGGCGGGATGGATGCAAACAAGAACACAGCTGACTGTTACACAGAACGAGGACAATCTTGCAAGATAACATGGTGCCATCTAACAGGCAAGGTCAAGAGCCTGGCCCGCATTATCTTCAGTCAGGCCATCTGCTAGTGGAGATCTGAGGCAATTGGGATAAGGCAAGGGCGATTACAGGACTTCGCAATGAGTAAGGTGGGACCCCACTAAAAATATTCACTGAAAAAAACATTTTTGCTCACCGCAAGCGTGAAAATTCCTTGCGATGCGTGTAACAAAGCCAAGCATCTTCATCACGCTTATCTTACTTGCGCTTTTCGATTTCTTTGATGTCGGCATCACGGGACCGAAGCTCTCCTCTTCATGCCATACAAAGGAATCAAACACCAAGACCGGTTCGTGTTAGGACGCGCATCGGGCAAAAAGCCAAGTCACCCTGAGACGCCCGACCCCCGCTCAGCTGACGGCCGGTTATACTGGGAGCCAGCCCGCCGACGGCTGCCTTCGCCTGCCGCGACTGCTGTGCGAGACTGGAAACCTGGAATACCGCTCTCTGCCCTGTCGGACGTCCCCCTGTCGTTGTTTACCGACATCCATTAACATGCACAACGCGAAATGGAAACAATTGGAGGCGTGCGGAAACATGTATGGGAGAGGGCTTTGATGTAGCGTAACGGCAACGCGGGAGTTTATCCAGGATTGGGAGGCTTTGCTTCGCCGTAAGCCTAGTGTTAAACTTTCTCAAATGTTGGGGGTGGGGGTGGGGGCTGCAGCCCCCAAAGCTGCCTGCATCGGTAAATCTCACGCTTAAAGGGTATGTTCCACATTTGAAGATATTGAAGTAAACATCAGATACGATGGAACAAGCTCACTCATAGCTATCGGTATACCTTTGAAGCGTAAAAGACGGCTCTAGACAGCACAGTTATCTGTTTAGTAAATATGTTCCTCAACGCGTCATGGTTCGATTACGTCATCGTACCTTGCACAACATTGATCGAGAACCAATTGACAGCCGTTTTACCTGGACATTGCGCTCACGAACGCCACACTTAAACATTTCGATAATCATATTTTCTTGGCCTTGATCGTCGCATGGCTTATGGAAAGGCAGGACTTGAATGACGTTATTATGACTTCATGAGTGCCAACGTATCTTTGAAATACTCTCCTCGATATACCTTTCGCCATTTTCGCGGGTGTGTAGCTCAGAAACTATAAGCACTTAGGTCTTAAAACGGACAAGATTGTGAACAGCACCGAAAGGTCTTCAAGATGACTATTTCAGTTCAAAACCTTGTATACATGTGGGACACTTTCTTTAAGTGCCTATAACCTTAGCGCAAGAAGGAGAGAAGGGCATTGAAGGGCGTAACATGATGCTCAGGCAGGGGCGAGTCCAGAGGGGGAGGGCATGGGACCATGCCCCCCATTGGGCCCCGAAGGGGCCCATAAGCTCCGGAGGAACGCATAACCGGCTGAACAGACGAAGTTTTGTGTACAAAACGCAACGAAACTGTCCGCCTCCAGGTTTCCAGGCGAACAAGAACAGTTGCAAGAAAAAGTGAAGTACCCACATCTCGACACAAATTATTCTCCGCTAATTGGAAGGGGGGGGGGGGCATTAGGAGTTTTTAAAACTTCTTACGCTATCCAAAGTTCCCACGCCGTTTCCGAGCCCTTTATGCCTACCTGAACGGTTAATTTGATTGTGAACGAGCCTCCTATGTTGCTCTCGATTTTTTGCATTTGCTCGGAGTGTCCTGCGCTGTTGCTGGGCCCGTTCTGCTGGCGTGCCGGGGCACTCTTGTCATGCAGGGTCCTTCCATAAATGCTTTCCATTCGCCCGAAAGGTTCTGTACGCTACATAGGCGTAGGAACGTTTCAAAAAGTAGGGGCAAGCTCAGGATATACCTCAGGACCTTGTTCTGGGAGGCAAGCCCGCTGACCGCGGGAGGGGGGAGGGGGGAGGGTAGAGACGGAGACCGCTGTCTGCTCTTAATTCACATAGCATATTTTGGAGATAATTAAATGTCATTGCTGGCTAGAATACATCTACAGCTCTTTCGCTCTGGTGCGCGATCCTGGCCATTCTGCTCATCCATGTCATTCAGCAAAGAAGCCTTTCCAGCTTCCAACGATTATTCATCCATTTGAACATTGCTTTCCCTGGAGGCGTAAAATTCCACGAGCGCATAGGCATTTTGGGTCATTGAGTAGGCATCTATCCCAACAGTGTAGATGTCAAAATACAAACACGACATGGGCTGGTCAGAATTTTGAATGCAAGGCGATGACCCATAGTGCGTCTGAATTCTCATGCGCCTAGATTTCGCCGGCTGCTTTGTTAGGGATAAGATTTGTCGCAGCATTTTAGGCGGAAAAAAATTCGAAAGCTTAAAATACTAACAGGCAAAGACAGGGTGACAAAAACCATAGAACTGGAGTTTTGCCTTTAAAAAACCAAGAGACAAAACGAAGACTCTTCTGTTACATATTCCTTATCTGGACCCTGCTCTGTGATCAGTAAAACAGTGGGGTGAATATGTGGGTGCATGAGCTTGGCCGTGATGAGGCCATGCCGCGCCTCTTTTCCCACCACCGCCGAACATGCCTCGGTGACTGTGCGCACGGCCTTCTCCATCGCCTGGGTATGAACCGGATAAGGAGGGATGGGCAATGAAGCGTGCACTATGCCTCGCAGCTCGCCGTCACTGATGTCTCGTAAAAGTGGGGGTTGCGTGACTGGTTCGCGCCAGATCAGCTCCGTGTAGCTCACGGCTTCGAAGTTGAAAGCTTGGGATTGCGAAGATCCTGGGCCCCTCGGTTTGCTGCTCACCCGCGACGCTGATGATTTGAACCGCCTGTTCGCGGACCGCACGTCCTCGTCCGCCACCATGGCCAGCAGCAGCTGTTCCGGATGGGCCCAGCACCCGTTGCGCTGGATCACTGGCTGCACCGTGGTCCGTGTGCGCTGCGGCAGCTCGCGGGCAGCGCGATGCTTCGGAACAGGTTGCGTGAGCCCACGTCACAGCTGCTGTTCTGTCGAATGAAGAACCACGCCGGCACATGGTGGCCAACCACGTACTGGACGAGGTCCTATATAGCCCTGCTGGAAGTCTTGGTGGAGATGTATCTCGGAGCAGGCGAGCGGCCACAGTTAAAACAATTTGTTACAGAACAGTTAAAACAATTTGTCCCGAACTGAGCACCAGGTCATGCAAAAATTATTTCAATTTTAACGCAACGGCAACACTTATCAGCAAGTATACTCGTAAGCATGAACCAACGAGTAAATGATACGACATACTATGCCACAACACATGGTAATGAGTAAGTGCTTAACGATCAGTACATGAAATGCCAGATGATGCATGAGAAAGTTTCAATATTCGTTGCTATGAATTCGAAGACAAAACAGTACCAATATCGTTGGTTTTGTTTGGCGACAGTATTAATAACGTAGCTTGGTTTACGTCAAGGTATATCGCCGAAATGTCAATATGTCTATTATTCCATTTTCCTCGATACTCTGCGTGGAATAAGGCTATTATTACTGTCTTATCAATGTGCATAATATTTCTCGCAAATGCAATTAAAAACGTCCGGAATTAGAAGAACCCGTGCTTTCATATTTACCTAGCATGGTTCAGGGGTCCGTTTCGCTGCCGAGCTGTCGCGGTCCGGACGGAGCCGTTTTGTACGCCTGAGGCCAGCAGGTACAGCAGTTGCTGGTCGGTGTCCAGCCGCTGGACCAGGTCGACCGGCAGGCTTGACACATGCCCGGGCACAGGCTTGAATGCCACGACGTCCGTTTTCCAGACCTCTCCGTTGCAGGTCTTGCCGATGGGTCCAGAAAAAAGATTTCGGTCCCGCAGTCGTGCCGTCCAGACTCAGCAGCAGGGGACGTAAATTCAGCTCATTTCCGTGCAGCTGGCAGATGAACCATTGCACGGGTGACTCAGTGACCAGCTCAAACAGCCGGCACACTCCACCTGTCGTCCCTGTGATGATGGCCGTGCCGTCGTAGCCGAGGACCTTGACGAGACCGTCAAACTGCTGGCTCACGGAGTGAAGCTCGTTGAGCAAGTGCAGGGCGCGGCCGGACCCGGGCGTGAAGTGAGTCACGTAGCGGCTGCCTGGCTCAGCGATGGCAACCACGTGTTCTTTGACGACATTCACGTGGCTATGTGCCATGCAGGTTCTGTCTTTGCGGCCATCGAAGTGAAGACTAGTCCAACCTGACTCGTAGATTGATTCCGCATTCTGAGGGGCCGCCTCTTTTCTCGCTCTGTCTCTTGCGCGCCAGATCTTATTAGGATCTACATCTAAAGCAGCCTGTCCTCCTCTGCCGTCCTGTTGAAAGGCGCTGATGATGGCAGCAGCCGCCCGGTTCGAGACACTGTAGCGGTCAACCGCAAGAGCGGTGTTGGTGAGATCGTTAAAGTTACGATCTG